AATAGACACAAATATGATTTACTGACTGCAGCCTTCCTTCGATTAGACTCTTTTATTAAGAATGGGCCTGCGTAATCCAATCGTACTTGCAAAAATGCACGATATTGTGCAAAGCGTGCCTCAGGTAGGGGTGCCATGATTGGATTAAGTGGTTGTGCTTTCCGGATACGAAACTTAATACATTGCTGAATACGACTTTGTATGAGACGAAGAGCACCTGGAATCCAGAATTCATTTCGGAGTAGAGATAGTGTAAGAGAAGGTCCGGCATGATAGTTATTTTGATGAATGTGATCTATCATGAGACTAGAGAAGTATGAGTTGCGAGGTATGAATGAGGAAGTATGAATTTGAATTCTGAAATGGGCCAATTTTCTACGGGGATAATTAGATCCTTCATCCTTTACCAATTGTTTAAGCACTCTTAATGCCTGATAGGCGTTCGACCGGGTACCATAAGTGACAGTGTTTAGTTCCATTTCTTGTATCCTTTCAGATGGATTGTTTCTCCATAGGATGTGCTGCAAATATCGATCAGAAGGGTGCAGTAAGATTTGCCGATACATTTTTACAATGTCTGCACAGATTGGAATTGCGTACAGCCGGAAACGGATCAGAACTTCACAAATATCTAATTGAAGTTTTGGACCTGTTAAAAGGACTGAGTTAAAGGGATCCAGTGGGTGAGGTACATGACGCGTCAAATACCACTCTGATTTTCATTCCAGCAGGTTTTTCTTGCCAGACGGCATGGTGAGGGATTAAGTAATCTGATTCTTTCTCTGCTTTGGACATATGCCCTAAATCTTCAAATTCTTGCATAAATTCTCTGTATCTGATGGCAAGTTCATTATCTGTGTGGAATTTTCGCTCTAAGTTCAGGAATCTCCTATCCACAACTTCGCGATTCCTCCCTGGGTGTCCAGCAACAAGCTTTAACTGCAGACGCACTACATACCTGCCTTCCGGAGTTCAAGAGTGCGTTTCGATGAAATGCTCCTCACATAGCTTGTCGTCTGGATCCTAACGATCAACTGTTCTTGGTTCCTCTATCTCCCAAAATGCCTCAAGCTGTTTTTCGATGATTCTTTGAGATCCCGTGAAGAATGAAGACAGCGCTGAAGTTGAGAGGACCGTTTTCTTTCCCATGACCACCAAACCCAACACGGTTGGCTGAAGAAAAAGGTCGTCCACACCGCTCCTGAATCGTGCACCGTTGATAATAAGTGGGTACAAATCAACGCCGATCAAAAGATCTATCGTACTGGGTGTATGGAAGCATTCATCTGCCAGTTGATATCTTGATAACTGCTTCCTGACATAAGCTTTTAACGGAGTACTTGGAAGTAGTGGAGTGATTGAGTTCACAACGATGGCTTTTGTGATGAATTTCTCGTTGCCGAAACGTGGTTGCAGAGTGCATTCAATTGATCCGTTTGGCGTCACGACTGGATTACCACCAAGACCAGCGATGCTAATGTTTAACAGATTGGTCTTGAATCCAAGCTTGCTTACAATGGCTTGTGAGATGAAGGAGTGCTGGCTTCCGGAGTCTATTACTGCTCGGATTGTGTGCAAACTATGCTCAGTGTCCAAAATGGTGAGTTGAGCCGTTCCTAGTACATAATAGGATTCAGTGTTATGGTGTTGGGAAGTTGAGCCAAATCCTGCAAAATGTGTAGAGGGAGGAGTGCTGCATTCATTTGATTTAACCTCGTGCAGTAAGCTGTGATGCCGAGTCTTGCAGAAGCGACATGTAAACTTTGACTTGCACTCTGATGTCTTAAGATTTTGGCGAAGACAATTCTTGCAACATTTCAGACTGCTAACGAATGCTATGCGATCTTCTACGGAGATGTTGCAAAAATTAAAACAGCCTGGCAGATAATGTTGTTCTTTGCAGAACGGACAACATCGTGGTGGACTTTGGTATCGGGCTGTCCAAGGAGTAGATAAAGGTGATTTGATGCTGTTAGGAGAATTGCTGGAATTTCTGTTAGGTGGGGTTTTAGTATGTAGGAAACTCGAAGTTCTGTACTTCGGTGATCCACAACTTGGAAATTGTGAGTGCTGGTACTGTGCTTTAACCCGATCATCTTGAGTAGTGCTTGAAAGAGCAAGCAACGTCTCTGGAGATTGTGAGGGCTATCTTCCTTTGTCTGACGAAGGTGATTACGTCGTCTACTGTTGGGAATGTGCTTGTTGAGGCCCTTGCTATCTCAAATTGCCTTCGAGTCTGCGAATTGAGAGCCCTTAATGCCAGAAACGCCAACAGAACCTCAGATGAATTTTCCAAGTTTAGAGTCTTATAACATTAAATGTTGTCTGCTACACCTATAAGGAAGTTCTCATAATTCTGCAGCTCGTTCCTTATATTCTTGGTTTCAAAATCCAATATTTGAAACCAATAAATATGTCGCTGAAGAAAATATGTCGCTAGTACCTTGGGATTGTTATAAGTTTGCATCAATTTATCCCAAGCTAGAACATATGACCTATCTTCGATTGGAATGTTTGAAATTAAAGGTGCGGCTTCACCCTTTAGTGCCCCAAGTAGGTAGTGGAATTTTTCGGTGTTGGTGAGTGATGTCTGTTGATGGACTAGTGAATCAAATGTGTCCTTAAAATGGGCCCAATTCTTTATCTCACCAGAGAAACTTGGTATGGCTATCTGCGGTAAATAGGCCTTAGCGCCAATTGTCCTGCTCATGGTTGGTTCCACAGAACGATTTACAGTATCCTGAACTGCTGGATTCAATTCCGCTGCTATCTTATTTACCAGAATCATGATAGATTTTGCTTGTATTATTTCACTCCTACAAGCGTCGTAAATCTCCTGCATACGTGCACTCAGAAAATCTTCACCCGCAAGAGCGTGAATGGTGTCACATATCTCCCATTTTTCCATAAACAGCGCCCAATCGGAATTTGCAGCATCTAGTTGAGCTTCAAATAATGGAGCTTTCTCAAGATCCGAAAGTGCTCCCGAGCCATAATCTGAACATCCCACGATGTTCCGGTGTAAACCTCTGAGCTGTCACTCCAGGGTAGTGATTTGAGTGTTGTAATCAGTGGTAACTGGTGGCATTTTCATAAGAAAAAACGACGAAGCAAGGGGGTTCAAGGAAGAGAGAATCGATGAACAAAAAGAAGACTGCAATGTAATAAAGAGAATAGAGAGACAACTATAAACAAAACAAACCAGGCATGAATGTGCTAAAGAGACCATGCAGAAACTGCTGTAAGAAAAAAAATCGCAATTTAAGCAATAAAAATTTAAATGAATGAAAAATGAGGTATCTAATTATAAACCATACACATATATTTATAATCAAATTAATTGCTTTTAATTTGATATAGAATGCTAAGTTATAAAATATGTGTGTATATATAAGAATAAAGAGTGCGTGATGTTTTTATCCAATAGAAGTTGCTATAACAAAGAGAAATTAAAAGACTGCTACCTCTTTATTTGTTGAATGAATCACTAATTAATGCTTAACTTAATGGCTGGACGTTATGATTACAATTAAAATACTTATTAAAGGCAATAAGTGCTAATTCATTTCTGATAATATACAAACTAGTAATGTAATTCAGTAGATAAATCAATAAATAATTTGAATAAAAAAAAAATTATTAAATGCCTGGTAAATAAATGTTTCTCAATTAAGGTAGTGGTTGCTTTAAAGATGGCTACAAAAATGATAATTCATAACTGATATGGATTCATTATGCATCAATAACCTAAATTCAAATATCAGAAAAAGAAATAGGCCAATGAATAAAAATTAATTAATCAATTGCTGAATTTGATGTGATAAATAATATAAGAAAGTAATTACAAAACTAAAATGAAAACAAATATAAATACGAGTGCCAATATACTACGTTTAACCTGAATGACATACATTAAATATAATTTATACTAATATTGGTTTAGGTTAATTTGGTTTTTGTATGATTTAATCATTAAAGATTTTAATGATATCGGGGCCCAGTGGACCATATGTTTATTTTATTATTAAAGATTTTAATAATATCAGAGCCCGGAGGAACAATTGTTTAATTTACTATGCCAATCCCTTCCAAGGCTGTCAGGGATATTGTCATAATAATTCTGCTTTAAGAGCTGGTGATAATTTATTGCTGTGGACTGTAAAATTAGAGAAGTTAATGGATTAAAGAAGTGAATATGTAAAATTGATTGCTTTATGTTATTACATGTAATTTTATACGGAGGTTAAATATAGGTGGGTTGGGATACTTGCATTTTCTCTTTTCTTCAAGTTGCCAGTCTTCTTGTTCATCTTCCCTCTCTTCCTTTCTTGGCCCCTTGCTGGCCGTTGTAGGTTTTTACTCCATTTTCATCAAATCAGTGGAATAACGAATTTTCTAACTGGCTAGTCTTGTCAATCTCTCACGCTACGTGAGCGTCTACGCTTCAACAATGGCGGCGTCACACTAACAACTGAGCTATATATGCAGTATAACAGCTGTGTTGTGCTTACTTGATTTAATTCAAATATGAAGTTTGATGTGTTCCCTAAACAGGAAGCTATACGAGATGGTTTTGAGTACAGGTATACCATAGTAGGTATGGTTCAGTACAGTAACAATGGGATACCCTTTTGACATTACTTAAAGGGATAACAAAGGAAACTATAAGTTTTGAAGAAAAAGGAATGAGGTCCCTCTGGTTTGATGCTGATTGTGTAACTGCCACAGAAGCAAAGAATAAAGCATATAAAAAGTTATTACTTCAATAATTTTATTATTTGAATCCATCACATCCTAATGACTTAGTGTACTTCTATTAGCTTCTTTGAGCATATAGGCAACTGTACTGGAAAGCAAGTTTGGAGCAACAAGAAATATTTAGAACAGTGGTAGCCTAAGAAAATGAATAAACATCACTCTTAGTACTTATACATTACTTAACAGGAATGGAGTATGGATAATTAAAAAAAAAAGAAAGAAAAAATGAAAAAGGTACCTACTGCAATTTTTGCCAAACTTGATAACTGGAATCAATTTTCCATTGGAAAGTTTTTTTATATAACCACCATGAGTAGATGTATATAATTCATTATTAAAAACAACTACATCTTCAGGTCCTTTAACTTCATTAAGGAATAATTTGTCTGCATTATTTAGTATTCCATTCAAAGTTACTGGTTCTGTCGTCAATCTGAAAAATCCATACTTATTTTAATCGAACAAATATTTTATTTTTATCAATAATTTTATGTAAGTTTAATGCAAATAGTTTTATATGATATTTTTTTTTTTTATTTCTTTATGACATTTACAACTGTATTACATAAATACATCAAGTAAATTTGGACATAATTGATATAATGACATGAATACACTTGCTGAGTAACTACCCAATGGTAGCACTCTAATGATATGACTACATTAGGAGATCACGGGGCCATCTTCTTTTCAGATGCCTCGGAGGGTTATCAGGAATTGAAGAGGAAGCAAGTTTAGAAACGAGAGGGTTGGGATGATTCTGAAGTTTATTATGGAAGGATAGGTATCTGGATTGGGCCAGATCTTAAACATAAGGAACATTAAGATCTTTATGGATAATTTTATTAGTGACAAAGTAAGGAGCATTGAGAATTTTACGAAGGATTTTGGATTGTAAGGATTGGATGCGAGAGGAATTCAATGGTTTAGTGGAGCCCCATAGCTCAACTCCTTAAGTCCAAATAGGTCTTATTATAGTAAAGTATATGAGTCTTTTGTAATTAATGGGAAGTTTAGAGCGTTTGTCTAGTAAGTGCTGAAGTAACCGGAAACGTCGAGCGGTTTCTTGTCGTTTCAGTCTAGTATGAGGATTCCAAGTTAGTCGTTTGTCCAGGTGGAGTCCTAGGTATCGGATTTGCTCAACAGGGATAAGTGGAGTATTGTTAAAGGAAACTGTAGGACAGGAAGTCGTTGGTTTACGAATATATGATATTAAATATGAAAATGTTGGATTTACAAGTTTAAGAAAGAAAACGCCAAACATTCAAACAGGAAACAGGAACATTACTGAAACGGAAACCATGGCGAGAACGGGTATGTAAATGGGATGTTTGACTTGAAACGCCCATGTTTCCTTATGTTCATGGTTGATCTGATCTACTGTCAGTTTTTTTGAACAAATCAAAGGGAGCTTAAGAAAAGCTAATGTTACTTGAGTGAGATATTAGGGTGTCCCATAAATCCATTCCTTGTTGTTTAAGGTTGATTTACTGAGTTATATATGAACTGTTCTGCTCTATTATCTTCTTCCATCTTTCAGGAAGCCTCTTATAACTTTTTCCCAAAGGGTAAAAACAATATTAATGAGACCTACTTGCAAAATATTCATCGAGATGTGTTTTTATTTTGCTTTGAGATTTGTGACATTTATCATGGAGAGAATCTTTTAAAGAAAGAAACAAGTAATAATGGGATGGGGAAAGGTCTGGAGAGTACAAAGGATGAAGTAGAAAGTCCTAATCAAACTGCAACAGATTCTGTCTTACGGCCATTGCCGCATGTTGTGTTGGCGAAAAAAAAAAGCATCTTGATGAATATTTTAAATCTTAAAAATTATGGAAAAAGGGTATAAGAGGCTTCCTGAGAGATGGAAGAGCAGAACGGTTCATACATAACACATTAAATCAACCTTCAACAACAAATAAAGAAAAAAAGGAAAGAATTTATGGGACACCCTGATATCAACAGATATTCACATTTATACTCTATTTTTATGTTTGTTTTTAGATATTTGTTATTATTTTGATATTTGTGCTTGGTATGTGGTTATAATCAAAATATTTCTTTGGTACAGAAATGAGCGAATATTTCTTTAATTTGCTTTACTAAGAGTTTTTATGTGTTTATGTTAGCAATATTTGGGAAAGGTATAAACCTGACTTTACCACACGATATTCTATATCATAAACACGATACATATGATATTGTACAGCATCACAACTGAGCAGAAAACAAAGGTTACATCTACAAATATCAATTATTAATCCTGGCTGGAATCAATTATTTGAGGCCGATTGCTGAGAGCATAAAGTGTTTTTCTCCCAATTTCTTGAAATCCAGCACGGCCTGGTTGAAATTTATTTCATGGAAGACCAATGGTATGAATCTTGAATTTCTCACTCTGATTAAAATATGTTAGGTTGTAACGTTAGAATAAATAAAATAAAAATAAATTTACAAATCAATTCAATAATTTTCATTTTGGAAATAAAATTTCGAAAATCAATGCCCCCATTTTTATTATCTCCACTAGGAACCACTAACCACCTTCTCTCCCCAATCCAACTACCCTTTCTCGCCTGTCATAGTCCTTGAGTTTCCTGGCATTATTGGAACAAGGTGTGTTTGTCTTTTAATATCACTAGAGACCGGATTTCCATGTTAGTGTACATTTTAATAGCTTATGTGTAAAAACCCTGGACCCGAATATCTATCCGTTGAATAACATATTTAAATTTTATATTGCACGTTTTGCCATTTTAGACTTAAATTGCACGATTTTGATTTTTGTTGCATTAAATTGTACATTTCGTGCTAGATTATATGATTTATAAATATAAATATATATTTACTTTTTTATTTTACTATCTTGTCCATATTAAATTTATAATTTAAGAAAGAAAAATATGAGGAACATAAATGATTCTATGACGTAAAGATTCAAATTTAACGTTACAAAAGGACGAAGTACAGACCGACTATTTGTGGAATAGAATTTTCTAAACGTAATTCAATAAAAAAACTGCCTTCCTTGTTTTGACTTGAATTCTTACTCTTTCTTAAGTCCTTCCAGCTCTGAAGTGAATCATAGACCATCAATAATACCCCATTTGATATTCATAAACTCACATTTGTCAAATTTCCACAAACATTAACTCGGTTATAATCTCGAAATTTGTCACTTAATAAACAAATTGAAATTATAGAAACTGTAAAATCAATAGTGAAATAGGAAAAATTATATCTCAAAAATTTTACTATGCAATAGAAACAAATACAGGTTATGCTCTTATAGAAAAATATAACAACTGAATTAACAGTATAAATATTAATGTTGACAAAGAACCAGCAGTGGTCGCTTGTAACAAAATGAGTTCCCTTACATCAGGTCATGTTGAATGCTCTTTTTCTCTATTAAAGGACTTACCTATTAAGTGATACAGAACAACAATTGTAATTATTATAGCATTGTAAATTTTAACTTGATTAAAAAATAAAGTTATCATTATATATAATGTGGACAATTTGTAATTATGTATTTACATATATTTTTTAAAATTAAAATTAAATATCTGAAATCAATTGGTCTAGTCTATATAATATAAACTTATCATTCATATCTTTAATCTTTTTAAGTTCCGCTACATTACTTCATTCCTTGTATGTGCCAGTCAATTAAAAAATTTAAGGAAAATTTCAACAAATATATTTAGTTATTTGTTTGTTAATTATTGAGAACTTTTTGTATTTGCTTTGTGAATTATCTTTATATTTTCTATTATTTATGTTAGTCTTTATTTTTTTTTTAATTTCTCTTTGTTCAAGATTTAGGTAATCGTAATTTCTTGTTGTATTAGATTATGTTTTATCCTTAGTTGATTGTAATGTGGATTTTAATTTTCAATGTTGCTCTTTAATTTTTTTTTTGTGACACAATATTTTAATTCAGAAGCTTAACATAAGGTTTGATAGGATTTTGATCTATTGATATTCTAAATTAAACCAAATAGATGATTTTTTGCACTTTTTAGGAGTAAATTAGACAATTTTACTACACGAAGATCCAGTCTCTAATTACCACTTTTAATTAACCTATCCTACAATATCTAACCCAACTCTCCACTACATAAACCGAATGCCTATCATCATTTCATATATTATACCATCACCGTTACTATTTTATCTTATATAGGGTTCCTCGTAAGTAGAGGGAAATTTGATGGTGAAAAATATCGGTACAGTCTTCATACTTTAAATAATCTTCATTAATGTAGATGTAGAACTTGTATTTAATACATTGGCACTGACAGTAGTGTTGGCTACAAACATCCAGTCAAGTAGATAGGCTACAAACATGGATAAAGAGAATGGCAAGGGAATGCCAGGAGTTTTCTTTGGCAAAAAGTCGCCCGATATAGACTCCAGTCGAACATTGGGACCCTCTTCAAAATAACAGAGACCGTGTGTATATTGACTGAGTTGGTACGTGCCAAGAGTATAATTAACTGCTTTTCATTGATGCAATATCACGCTGGGTTGAAGTAAAGATGTGCAAAAATGCATCCAATACTACAGGTACAATCAAATTACTAAACAAAATATTTCCCAACCATGGCTATCCATTTGTACTATTATTCAATAATGCAACTCTCTTCACTAACAAAATCTCAAGGAATTATTGCTGAGTAAATGGTATTAAGCAAAAATTCACCCCACCAGAACATCCAGCTACTAAGGGCTTGGCTAAACACTACATACAAACTTTAAAAAAAAACAAAAACTAAAAGCAATGAACACAGAAAACTTACCCATGAAGCAAAAGGTTGAGAAAATATTTCTTCATTATAGGGCAATGCCATTGGCCGATGGGACATCACCAGCTAAAAAATATCTGAACCGGCAAATAAGAACAAGATTAGATGCCATACGACTGTGTCACAAACAAAAATCCGATCAATCAATCCAGCCCCAGACCAGCTCTCTCAGAAGTGGGGGAGAGAGTAAATACAAGATTTTTTATTAACAAGGTAGAATGGAGGCCAGGAAAAATACTAAAAACCTGAGATTTCTTCCTTACATAGTAAGTCTTGATGGAGGGAGAAAAATAAAAAGACAAATTGATCAACTTAAAAAACTAGAAGCTAAAAAGGTGACATTTAAGGAACCTTTACCAAAACACCATAACAATATAATAATAATAATAATAATAATAATAATGCTTTTTTTATTCTGGGACGAGTCTCTTTAGAATAATACAGAGAATTAAAATGTGGGCTAAGGAGCCTCAGAGATACATAAACAAGAGTATAGTTTGATTAAATAGTAAAAAAAAAAATAAAATAAAAAAATATTTAGAGAAATTATAAGTTACTTTCTAATTTACATCAGTTAATAATAAAAATAAAAAGTTGAAAATAAACATGAAGTAAAAAT